ACACCATGTTATCTCTGACTCTAGCATCTGCAGTTCTTACTGTCTCTGATCTTAACATGTGTTGTCACCATCAATTTCAAGCAGTGACCAACCACAGCACTTATAACAGTCTATTCCTGGACCAACAATTAGAAGGAACACCTCTCTTGTTTTCAGGAGAGCTAGCAGAGTTTGCCACAATTAGGACAATAGACCAATTCATCAGCCTTTGAGCCAGAGTCCATTTTCTGAAAATGATGTAAACTGGACATCAAGAGAATAATATTGGCTCCTGTTTAAGACCCCACTCAACCCCCTGTTTTCTGACATCAATCTGTTATTGTTGAGGTTTTCAAGGCATTTTCTGAAGGAGCAAAGCCAGTAGTAGAATCCTTTGCCCCAGTACACCCTTCCCAGCTTCTACTCCATTTTAGCTTATAAGTGCTCTTATTGAAATGTCTATGATCCTCAAGGAGTTTGACAGGGTAGATGCTGAGAGAGGACATTCCCTGTCAAGTAGGAATCTAGACCTAGGGGACACATTTCCCAAATAAGAGATCTCTCAATTAAAGAGGGCTTGAAAAGAGATTTATTCTCTCAGAGGCCCATTAATCTTTGGAATTCTCTTCGCCAGTGGACAAACCTGAGTTGGACATAGTTTTGATCAACAAATGAGCTAAGGACTATGTGGGACAGACAGGGATGTGGAGTTAAGGTCACGATCAGATCAGCCAAGATCTTACCAAATGTTGGAACAAGCTGAGTGGCCTATTCCAGCTCCTAACTGTTACGTTTTTGTTTTAATCCATTTCCTACTCTTCCCTTTCACTTTGCAACTTAGTCAGCGCGGTGATCTTGAGCTCAAACCCAAGACAATCACAATTATGTGAACACTGATCTCAGAGGTTGAGGGGCCAGCTCTTTCCCGCCGATGTGGTTGATAAATCACAACATACGTTTCACCAGGAGTGAATGAGTGCCCACTGACATAGGCTGCAGACTCTCAGCAGCAGGCAGCCTCTTACCTCTCTGAAGCTTTGAGTGTTCCACTGCCAAAGAGGTTGCGGATAGAGCGGGAGGCTGGCAGCCTGGCATCTCGTGTGTAGAACACCATGCAGAAGTCTTTAGTAACAACTGCAGGCTGTGTACAGTTCTCCATCTGCCAAAGAGAGATGAGAGATTTACAAAAGGTTCACAATGTGATGAGGAGCAGTTTTTGAATCTTTCTTAGCTTCTGGTTGGAACTTTTCTTCCCAGTTAAGATTGGTGATCCTGAGAGTTGTATTTCAATGGAAAAACTGCTTTGTCTAAAAGGAAACTGCTTTTGTTTGGTTTCCTGGAATGCCATCAAATTCCTCATCAACACACAATCACACTGGAAAAATACTTAGCAACATCACTCACAACAAAATTATAGGTTGGGTTGTGGAGGGAAAATAAAAGCAGTCACATTAGTGCAGCACAGAGACTCATGAAACATATTACTGAAAGAGTGAAGAGGGAGCTTTATCCCATATCCAGCTCAGGACGTAACTGCCTTGAGGGTGGTTAATGGGACAATGCAGAGGAAGTTGAACTCTGTATCTTATCCTATGCTGCATCTGTCCTGTGAGTGTTCAATGGCACAGTGTAGATGAGGATTAACTCTGTGTCTCACACTATGCTGCACCTAACCTGGGAGTGTTGAATGGGACAGTGTAAAGGTAGCTAACTCTGAATCATACCCTATGTTGCATCTATCTTGGGAGTGTTTAATGGGACAGCATAGAGAAAGCTTAACTCTATCTCACCCTATGCTGCATCTATCCTCGGAGTGTTTAATGGGACAGCGTACAGGGAGCTTAACTCTGAATCAAACCTGCGCTGTACCTGTCCTTGGAGTATTTAATGGACTTTTTGGAAGATGCTTTACCAAGTAACTAAACCATGTTCTCCCTGCCCTTTGATGAAACACTGCAGAGTTAGCCTTGCACTTTATTACGCCATGTACTGTATCTACCCTGGGAGTGATTGATGGAGACAGATGAGAGGAAGCTTAACTTCCTATCCAACCCCGCATTGTACCTGCGTGGGAAGTGTTTGATGGACAGTGTAGAGGAAACTTTATATCCATCTCATTTTGTAGCTGCCCTGTGAGTGTTTGATACTGAAAGTGGGTGCCTGAAATAAAAACTTTAAGATTCGCCATGATTTATGTCCCTTGTGTTGTTGAGTACAAAATTCCCAGGAAGCAGGAAGTTGGGATACAGACTCTGCTTATTTGGGGCAAGATCTTACCTCCAAATACGCTGACAACGTCATGTAGATCTTCTCTCCATATGGGGTCACTCTGTTCAGCAGCAGGGAGTTATGCATGGAGCTATCCCAGCCTGCTTCAAATCGGTAAAAGGTTCTGCAAAAATGGCACTATCCAGTCAACCCACATCACTTCTCAAATACAGACCTGCTGTTTTATATTTGCTTTCTGCTACAAATAACAGGAGCCACTGGGAGACATAACAGTCTCAAATATAACCTGACAATCAGCAATAAATACTATAGTTCAGTTGCTTATTAACTCTGCAACTGAGTTGAAACTGGGCAGAGGTAATATTTTTGCCACTGTTGTTTAGTCCATTTGTCTGTGAACAATTTAATTTTTAAAAAAAGGATAGATTTCAACAAAATATGATACACTTTTAGGGTATGACCCCGAGTAGAATTGGTTAGTTCTGGTGAAGATACAGATCTGGATCCTGGAATTTTTTAAAGTATGTGTCAACATTGGGAAATAGAGCGGATTGTCTATTTTTCTTCTAGGGTATTGTTAGTTGCTTGATTTTGAATGTTAATTGTTTTTAGAATTTATCACAGCTGTCAAAATGTGTGCAGAGTTTTGAGAGCAGGCTGTTGGATGTGAATTGGCCTGAAGCCCCCTCAGTGAGATGGAAGCTTTGAATGAAAAAAAAAGTCTTATCTCAGCTAAGGAATTACAGAGCATCAATCATGTAGGGAAAAGCCTTAAGGACGAGCTGCAGAATTGTAACGATAGAATAGTGAAAATGTGATTGTAAATTTTATTGATATATTTTGAGACCAAATGAGCAGCTAGAACTGTATGTTATAAGTTATAATGCAGCTTGAAGGCTAAGATAACACAAAGTCACAGTGTTATTGACTCTACGGAGTATACACTTATCTTTCATGGAACGGTTCACCCTCTCTCGTGTAGTACATTACAAAAAATAATGGTGATTCCTAGCACCTCAATAAATCCCAAACACAAGTTAACTTAACCTGGCTTCATTCTCTGCCCATTGCTAACAATGACTAAGAGTGTTGACTACCTGGGACAGCAGGAAAGGTATCAGTATCCCAGTATCAGCAAGTACCAAGCTATACACGGTGGCTGGCTGTTTCACAGCAGGGGTCGTCAATTGGATGTCCAGGTACCTTTCAACAAGCAGGGCATTTCCCAATCTAGGCTGAGGTTGTGGTTGTGGTTGGGGTTCGGGGGTGTCTGCAATGGGAGGAAATGCAACATTGTGCTCACAGAACATCAGCCCATGCCTGTCTTTCTTTTCCATTGGCATCAGATGGAGGGTGGTATAAAATGTTGATAGGTTCATGGACAATCTCTGATGGTTCTGTAGACTAATGTTCTCAGACGTGGGAATGACAGTCAACTTTATCCAATTTACAGGCAAGAAACAATCCCGAATGCTCCTGTAGCACCTCAGTTTCTTTTCCTACTATTGGTTGTCTCACCATCTGCAGTGAGCCTATTATTTTTAAACCTGCCAGGTCATCCCCAAGATGAAATCAGTTCCCCTATAGGTATCTGTTTTACTACATCTAAATACAAATTCTCACTCTTCATCCAACTTTATGTATTACAACTGGTTTGTAGCCTATGGGAAGATATGGAGAGGGTGGAAAAGAGGTTTATCAGTTTGTTGCCTGGATTGGAGTGTATTAGCTACAAGGAGAGGTTGGACAAACTTGGATATTTTTTGGTAGGGTATTGGAGGCTGAGGGGCAACTTGAGTGAAGTATATAAAGTTATGTGAGGCATGGATAGGGTGGACAGTCGGTGTCTTTTTCCCAGAATGGAAATGTCAAATACTAGGGCCCATAGGTTTAAAGTGGGAGGATGGAAGTTCAAAGGAGATGTGCGGGGCAAATGTTTTTACACACAGCCGGATCAGGTGGCGGAAGCAGATCAGATAGCAATGTCTAAACGTCGACATGGACAGGCAGGGAATACAGGGATGCAGACCATGGGCAAGCAGATGGGTTTAGTTTAGAATGGCATCATGGTCAGCACAGACATGGTGGGCAGAAGGGCATGTTCCTGTGCTGTACTGTTCTATGTTCAATATTCACTGAGCTCAATTGTGTTCATTGGCGACCAGCTTAGCACAATGAGAGGGAGATACTCCCTATCCTACAAGAACATAGTTCTCTCCTTTTACTGAGATGTGTTGTGCCTAACCAACAACTGGCAACTGATCAAGGCCATGTCAGTTTCCCATATGTGGGCAAATCCATCCTGGATTGGCTAGTAAACTGATCTGGATTTTACATCAATTGGATAGGGTTTAAAAAGTTCTTCAATAAGACATTAGCCAAACTGAACCACCATCTCATCAGGAATTCGCCAACAACGGAAAAATCATAGCAATAGGACAGGGCAAATGCTGCTGACTGATGGCAAGAATAAGCCTTACTGGAACACAAACAGCATTTTGTAAAATTTGCTCAGTTAAGAGATAATATGAGACGTGTATGGGAAGGCATCATAATGGTTGAGGCAGAGGGAGCTTCAGAGCCAGGGAGGGGGAAGAGGAGGATCAGGGAGGGGAATCAGGAGACTTAAGGGAGGGAAACTTGCAAAAAGAGGTCAGTGATTGAGGGGAAAGGAGACCATCATGGAGAGGTCTGGAGTTGAGTCAGAGAGAGGTCAAGCACTGAGAGTGGGAGAGAGGGAGATCAGGAGTCAAGGGGGAAGGACAGCAGGATAGAGAAATCAGGAATTGAGGGTGATGGAAGTGGGTGGTTGCAGGAGATAACTGAGTCACTCTCTTTTTACCCCAAGGATGGGACATAAACTTACTGTTCAGGCTTTGAGTTGAGAGATGAGCAATCAGGTCATATAAATCAGAAGCCACTCTGAAAGTGAATGGCTGACATCTGTAAACTCATACTATAAAGAACAGTGTAACGGGTAATTGCCCCTAAAATTCTAGCTATATCAAGAGAAAGATCTCCCAGGGCCCGACCAGAGGCCAATTCTATCATTCCCAATAACTAACATACTCAACTCCTGTTTTTGTAGAGAAAGCAAGAAACAACTTCACGACAACTACAAGACAAAAACACTTTTTCATACAAGATCAACGTATCTTTCTTCAGAATTAATTTAAATGCTGGAGTTTTATAAAGTAATTTGTCACAAGACAAATTCTCAGTGAAAGACAAAGAACTCAAGCCACCAATGACAAACACACTACAATACATCAAGGCCACACGAGGCAAAGAACAAATCATGTTACAGCCACCACCCACCATATGAAAAAGATTACAGTGCAAAGAATGTGTGAAACGTGTGGAGCGTATTGCATATGAAGATACAAAAAATGGGAAACATAAAGAGCAAAGAGCACAAGATGTTTAGTGTGCAAGACAAAAATTACACAGTGTGGAACAAAGTCAGAGACAGCGACATTTTTCAGTTCTGTACTTATTACCATCTTTCAGATAGGTAACATAATAAACAGGACATTGATCGTCATTTTCAGAAGGGAATTTCATGGGTTTAGATTAAATTTGGACAATGGGCCGTTTACCTCATACAAGCCTCCACCATTGCTTGTTCCTCGATTGCTCCTAGAGCACAATTAGGCCAGCTGGGAGGTGAACTTTGTTGTGTGCTTAACCTGATACTGCTGGCTGTAAATGCAAGTTCAATTTCCTAAACTAAGGCCTAGGCTGAATTTGTATTCTATTAGGTGAGGGAGATTAAGAAGTGATTTAATTGAGGTGTGTTAGGGATAGGTAGAAAGTGGAGAAGGTCGTAGTTAGATCTGCTGTGATCTTACTGTATGGCAGAGCAAGATTGATTGACTAAATGGCTGAATCCTCCTTCTATTTCTTATGATCTCATATAAGGCGACAAAAGAAGTTGATGGGTAATGGGGCAGGTTGAACGAATTATTTTCTTTGGTAACAAATTCCAGAAAAGGGGAACATAATATTAAATTAATGCTAGGCTAGCCACAGGTGATGTTAGGGAGCATTCTCTCATACATGGGAAATCTGGTAACGTCTTCTCTGCCTGGCTGTTTTGGCGAGATTGACTGAAAATTTCAAAACTAAGATTGGTAGATTTTTGTTAGACAAGGATATTAATGGATAATATAACTGAGTTGCAGATCTGTCAATGACCCAATTGAGAGACGGTACAGATACAATGAGCTGAATGGATTACTCTTAACCTTACATTCCTAAGAACACCTTCTTTGACGGGTAGGGGGTCTAGAATGCTCACAGAATACAATAAGTAGCAAATATTAGTGGGGGCATGATAGAGGGGCACCCACACCAAGCTTTGAGCTTTTTGTGGAGTGGAGTCCCTAAGACTGCTGATGCTCAAAACACTCTCAGCACCGGCTTCTCTATCACCAAGTCGGATATCCTGCAACAAGGTAGGTCAAACTTAGCAGAAAGAAGTGCAATTCACAAGACAGATATGAGTATCATGTCAAGGAAATGTCTGTGATTTCTGCACATTTTAGTGATTGTTACTGGAAGCCAGGTGAAAGAGCAGGATGTGGTGGAAATAGACAACAGGAGAAACAGCTTCAAAAAGGGAAGGTAAAAAACATTTTTTTTGTCAACCCAATCAGACATGTTATAACATACTTCTCGTGCCAAACGGACTTGAATCTTGACCTTCTGGTCTAGAGTTCAGGACTCTACCATGAACTTTGTGTAGGACTTTTTAATCAATTGCCTGTCATTTTTTTCTTTTTGATGATGACATGACCTGCAGTGGATCTTCAGAGTTTACTCTAGAGATCAATATTCCTAACAAGCTACAATTCCTCAACTCCTGACAAGGGGAATGTCAGTCTGGCGGAGAACTGAGAATATTGATTACTTTCAGGCCTGACAGTTCAGTTGGATGGCCTGGGCTTCAAACAGAGATAGTAAGAACTGCAGATGCTGGAGTCAGAGATAACACAGTGTGGAGCTGGAGGAACACAGCAGGCCAGGCAGCATCAGAGGAGCAGGAAAGTTGATGTTTTGGGTCAGGGCCCTTCTTCAGAAGGGTCCAGACTCGAAACCTTTCTGAAGAAGACATTTCTGAAGAAGGGTCCAGACCCAAAACATCAGCTTTCCTGCTCCTGT